GCGTTCTTTCTGTGTTTGTGTTTCTCCTCTCAGAAATGGACGGAAGTTTTAGAGACCACGCATTGCTGGAGGGCCAAATGTTGCAAATCCGTGCACATGTCGCCAGGTAGATAAGTGTTTCATGGTAGAGCAGCATTGCTATAATTGTGAACGCTATATGTATGTCTCAGAGTAATATAACGCAGGATTTGAGTTGATCATTGGTAGAAAAAAGTTGAGAATGTTTACTTACAACATAATTCACCGAATACAACGAAATACTATGGTTAGAATTGTTCAACAAATTTGTGTACTTGGACATGCTTAAACGAAGGTTTTCGGGGAAATACCTGATTTTTTGGTGGGGGCTAAATCGCTAAATGGGGCGAGGTGGGGGGACAAGGGACCAAATCACTAGAGGGGAGGACAAAATCGCTAGAGATTTTGCCCCGGGGAGGGCGTAATCACGGGAGGGCGAGATCCGCGGCTCACGGTGGCACCTGCAGAGTTTCTCGTCCATTTTTGGACATTTTCCAGACTAAATTGCCATTCAAATTAACTATAACTGTTCCTTACCTCCTTCCAACTAAGATTCGGTCTGCACTGTTCTGCTTCTTGGCGATCATCAAGCAAAAACCTCCAAAAACATGCTCGGTGTAATGTCTGTAAGGCCACACCATGTAAATTTTATGGATGACGTCCTTTGGAGACCCTAAATCTAATGCGAGAGGGCGAAAAAAAAACAAGAAGGGCCCTAAAAAACAAGATGCCTAGATTAGAAATATACTAGGAGACGACAAATGTTAGGACACAAATTGAATTAGGTGATACAGTGTAACAAGAAAGAAGTCTTTTATTCATCATCAAAACAGCAATAAATCAGGTGGAACAGCAGTTGTCGTCCTGTCCTGTTTTCGCGTTACGGGTTTCACGTCAATCTGACGATTTGTGGCATTGTCGTGACTCTTTGGTCATAGTTACAAGATAGAAGCGGAATTTCTTTTTTTTTTAGGAACAGGCCAAAATCAATGCGCGTGCAGACGTCATCCATAAAATTTACTTGGTGTGGCCTTAGATATGGGGCAAAGCGCACTCCAAAATTTACTGCAGACTCTTCGCTTCTCAGCCCATTAGGTCAAGCGTGACCAGATCGTAACCGAACTGTTATTATTCACCTCAGACATGTCTCCCCATGCAGCAAATTTCAATTCTCCTCGCTTCTGACTCTCCGTTTTGTTCACACAACATTTTAGCCTGGTATCCAGTCTGATCGTGATTGGGGGTGTTGGGGTGTTCAGGCAGGCTGTGTCTTCGGGGGCTCTAAGAGCTTCCCCCGCCCAGTGAAACAGGCCGTCCCGGTAGGAGTGTTACGCTAACCAGAGACGGTATGCTTGGGGATTTGGTTTCCCCCAACACGGGAAGGGCTAATCAATCTCTCGTGAAATACACACCGGGAAACCTATGTGAGGCGGGCGGGCCAGAGCTCTTACGGCCCCGACCACGATCAGACTGGATACCAGGCTAACAACATTTACGTCATGCAACCAAAGCAACAGGTACGCTTCGGCGGGCTCGCTAGGCGATTAGATATGACAACATGCATCGCATCAAAAATTCATGGCGCTACCTTGTGGATATGGAGAAGTAATTCGTGGCCCATGTCAAATTCCGAAGTACGTTTTGGCACTAGGAAGAACTGTCTCTTTTAAAATCTCAAATACAGAAACACTTTTAGTTTGAATTGCAATGTGTGGCGTCGTAGCAACATGAAGTAAGATTTGGCGTTGTCAAAGAATAGAAATCATCAGGTATCTTCAAGCCAGCTTGTCCGATATATACATGTATACCATATTCAAGAACATTCTACTTTACTAGTCTCTACCAGACTAACTACGCTGGTTGTATATAGGAGAATAATTGCCAGGGGAGTTTGGCCGCCTTGGTCGGTTTGACTGGCCGGAGGGCAAGAAACTACTTCCCCGCGGCCGGACTCCCTTGACCAATTTTATTCTCTTTTTATTGCCGAATTCTTCGATCCGTATTCTCGTAGAAAGGCCTGGTGGAGGCTACTACTTCACGGCTTCCCTATGCATGTACCACAAGTCATAAGCTCAAAGCTAAGAAGTCAGATGGTTTACGACTTTAGACTGGAGATCTGTTCCTTTGAATTAGGACATATGTGGAGATTCTCAAAAGATACATGTAGTTTCCATTTCAAATGTATCAGAAGGCAGACCTTTTCTAGCCTCCATAGCATGCCAAAAACTGGGGGTTTGGGGGGTCTTCAGGGTCTTTGGGAGCTTTTATGTGCTATTTTCGGATTGCATATAGACAACATAGCCGGCCTGGTTGAATTGCCCCCGTTTTTAGAACTGGGCTAATCAGAAAACAGCCGAAGACCACCAAACCCCCAGTTCTATAAGCCTGCTACGGAGGCTAGGCGTTTCCAGCGTAGTAAGAACATGTTACCACGTTAATACTCCGCAAAATACACCCGGATTTCGTTCCAACACAAATAATTCTACATGTAAGTCTTTCGAAATTCGTGCATACTACATTCAAAATTAAACAAAATACCTCTTTTTAAAACAAGAATCATTTTTACATGATGAAGAACGCTTTCTATTTTTTTGTCAAATAACAACATCCATACTAGTTGAATATGCTGAAAATATGAGTTTCACTGACACAACAAAAAATACAATTTTTAAACATCCATCGGTAAACATCATTGAAAATCATCGCAAAACTCGAGAGACAGTAGTATGATACGCATATATATGGTGATAGAACTTACCTTGGGGTCATTTTCATCGCTTAGTACTCCACAAGTTGTCGTTGTTCCAAAACGACAGCTTGTTATCTACCACTAAACGCTCTCTAAATCTACATAGCTTCTAATAAACGCAAAACTACTGTGAAATAAGTTGTCGCACTCTTTCCTATGCTAGCCTAGGTGTTGAGTTTTGAGCAACAAGAGAAAAGGTCCTAGCTCAGTGGAAACCAGGACAATAAGATGACTCTACGGAAGGATAGGCGGTGCCTGTTGAATAATTGAAGAAGCTACTATTGTCCTTCTTACAACAGGCTGCTCATCACCTGGTGTCGAACAAAGGGATGCGATCATATGTCACATTACGACATGCCTATACATGGAGACCAGTTGCATTGCATGTCCTTGCATATTAGTGTATGTATGAATGAACTTTATTGCACAACAGTTGCGCAAGGTACAAAGTGTAGCACGTTTTTGTGATAATTCTTCTCTAATTTTAAGGAACAACTGCCTTTTTTTAAACATGGAATGAGACTCTGCAACAATTTTGACGAGTATGTGTGTTCTAGAAATGCTACTAAGGCCACACCTCCTTAATTTTATGGATGACATCCTCTGAAGACCCCCAAACTAGTGCGCGCGGGCGAATAAAAAAAATTCCGGTCAAAAATAAAAATGCTACTAGTACTAAACCACAGGAATATAAAGCTGGTAATGTGAATTTGCGGCAGTACTTAGCGACGTATACGACAGGCACATGCCGGCTTTTTGCGGAATTTATAAATCGGCACTGTACGTATATACTAAGTTCTTGAGTCGTGGAGCTTCGGTAGCCTGGGTGCCCGGCTCCGTATTGTCGCTAATACCCCCGTCACATTGCGCGTAAATCGATCGGCCGACTAGTTGGCGAGCTCTAAACGACATTTACGGCCGTAGTACGCCCGATGTTCCGTCGAGCATCGCGCGAATTTTCGGGATCGCCGGCGATTTTTTGGAGTCGGCCGAAGCTCGCTGACACGCGAAACGTGTTCTTAACATCAGCGACTAGTCGCCGGCGATTTTTGAGGTCGCAGAGCTCGTTTCCAGCTCGCGCGTAGCTCGCCCGTAGCTCGCCCCTGTGCGGCCGAGAGTCGACCGATATTCGGGCGTACATCCCACGAGTCTCGGCCGTATTTCGTCTTTGAAAATCGGGCGACGGTCGCTGAATACGGTCGACCCTCGCGCGAGTTTCGCGAAATGTTCG